AAGCGATCTTTTGAAGGACATTCAAGATGCTTCCAGGCGGAGGTTGGTGTTTTATTTTTTTAGGAAATTAGAATTGATTGATTTAGATTTGATTTTTACTTAATAAAACTACTCTTATGTTACCTTTGTTTATTTCGCTAAAATATATTCCTCTTTTCTGATTGGCTAGCTATCTTGCAAAATTTATATCCGAGTTGCATCGTGTATTCGCACAACTACACATCAATTATCTCGAAATAAATCCATTGGTTGCTTGCCTTGATTCTCAAGGTAACCTACGGATTCACATCCTCGATGTTGCTTCAAAAATTGACCAATGTGCTGAGTATTTATTCTCCTCAAGCAAGGATTGGTTAGTGGATGGAGAACCAATCACATTCCCCCCTGCTTTTGGGCAAATTCTAACTCCTGAGGTTTGTTTATTTTCCACTAAGCTTGATTAGTTGTTTTATCTTCCCACTAAGATTTACTTTATTTGAGGATATTTGGATTTGCTAATATGTTTTATACATTTACCCCACGGTCAAGCGCAGTTCCTCAGCATATATGTTTTACTATTTTTACCCATGCTATGTCAAGGAACGACTACTCTTTGCAATAATGGAAAGATATTTAAACACGAATTCATCGTATTAAATAATTGAGAAGCTATTTGGGCTTAGAAATCCCAAAAGGAAAAGAATTGTCCTCCTAACTAATATCCGGTTTCAATAGCCTTTCTCAAATAAAAGACCTTGAGTTGAATGGCACTAAGTGCATATTCACCAACTGGAAATGAGAGGATATAGGAGTTGGACGAGTAGTCGGGAATTGGGATAGAAGGCAAGTAGTTTAATGAGGTGTAATAAGGGAGTTGATTGATTTTACCATTACAATACTTAACTGTCAATTTACCTTCCAAGTGTCCATGAGATCAAGTATTTACTAATAAAGTGGAATTAATCCAATGAAAAGCTACCTAAGCATAAGTTATTTAGTCAGAATTCATTTCCGTGATATTGAGAGCTTCAGAGCCAACCAATTAAATTGAGTGATTGGCCTTCAAAGAATTGATTGACGATGGTTGATAAAGTGGCAGTGTTAATCAAATTTTCTTTTGGATAAACTGCAGACTTTGCTCTCCTCAACGCACGAAAAGTGCTAGAACTCGATAATAAGGTCGATGGTTCTAGTCACGGATCTCCCCCACGATAATTTCGAAGGCCAGTTTCCGACACGAATTCGCCTTTCTTCTAAAGACTAAGATATCGTGAAGAGCAGAAGCTGAACGAATTGCATGGGAGAGAGAGAGTTAAAGTAATCATCAACTCTAATCAAAATGAAATTGGGGAGTGGGGGGGGGGGAGCAATATTGACTTAGTAACTTAATTACTTATAATTTAATAATGATTATAATAATTTATAATTTAATGGCTTTAGGGTGAAGTGTCCTCCAATGTATTTATTTATTGATGTCAAATGGCAGACGTTTTGATAGTTATCATTAACCATTTAGTTGACTTCAGGCTCCACAGAGGGAAAGGAACATCAGAGTGAAAAAAGTCGAGATTGGGGGGTGGAATAGAAGAGTGCTTCAAAGATGATGTAAAAGAGACATACATGAAGGTAGAAAATGGTGAGGTGAGTACTGTAGAAGTAGTCGAATATGACATACGGTTGAGGTGAGTACTGTGAAAGTAGTCGAATATGACATACAATGAGGTGAGTACTGTGGAAGTAGTCGAATATGACATACAGTAAGGTGAGTACTGTGGAAATAGTCGAATATGGCATAGAGTGGGGAAGATGTAGAAGATACAGACACAAAGGTAGAAAAAAGGTGATGTGAGTACTGTGGAAGGGGTCGAATATGACAAGCAGTCGGGCTGAGTACTGTAGAAGTAGTCGAATATGACATACAGTGGGGCCATGATAGTTTGAAGTCAGAAGTCAACTGCCAGTTAATAGTGGGATCATGGTAGTTTGAAGTCAACTGCCAGGTAATTGACGGGGTAGTTTGAAGTGAGAAGTCAACTGCCAGTTAATATAACGAATATGACATAGAGAAGTCAACTGCCAGTTAATAGATCATGGTAATTGAAGTCAGAAGTCAACTGCCGATTAATAGACTTGGGGTCATGATAGTTTGAACTCAGAAGTCAACTGCCAGTTAATAGACTTACTCATGGTAGTTTGAAGTCAACTGCCAGGTAATAGACTTTAGTTTGAAGTGAGAAGTCAACTGCCGATTGATAGACTTTTATTTGAAGTCAGAAGTCAACTGCCAGTTAATAGACCTTTTCAGTCAGAAGTCAACTGCCGGTTTATAGACTTTTTTGCCGTTTGAGTAGTCAGAAGTCAACTGCCGGTTAATAGACTTTTTTGTGAAGTCAGAAGTCAACTGCCAGTTAATAGTCTTTTTTGCCGTATGGGTATACGTTGCCCAGGGTGCACCACGTGGAGGTAGTCTGTCGCGCACCCCCGTGTCCTCCAATGTTCAAATAAAAAAATACAATTCGGACGATGGAAATATCACATTTACCGTGGAATGCGGAGTGAATTATAAAGTTTGTAGATCTTCACATTGAAATTAATGATTTAAGCATACTCGAAATTATTTTTTTCTCAGTTTTTACTAAATGGTCTTTCCTTTGGGAAGTGCATGGTCCGTTAAAGCTCAGTGTTTGTGTGAAAATCGCTTTTCGAATTTCTCAAGATCAATTCTTAGCAATTGTCCCAATTTTCGACATCGGGCGTTTGGTTGTTTAATTTCTTTCCACAATGGAAGAGGACATGAACCCGAAATTTCCAATTTTAAAAGAGGTGATATTTTAGCTTCTTTTATCTTTGAATTTACAGACTATCGATTGTCCTTATTATCTTTATTTTTGTTAGGAGCGACGAGTTGCTGATTTGGATGCGCGAACTGGAGCGAGTTTGAAGTTATGTGTGTTGAATCCTCATGGTCGCATTTGGACAATGAGTGCTGGTGGTGGAGCCTCTGTCATCTATGCAGACACCATCTGCCAGCTGGCTTCATCTCCTTCCGAACTGGCAAACTACGGCGAGTACTCCGGGGCGCCGACAGAAGTCCAGACGTTTGAATACGCATCCACTATTCTTCGTCTCATGACGAATGCTTCTCCACCACATCCTGATGGTTAGGCACTATTAATTTTTAAAAGCTATTTGATTCTTTTAATTGTCGTATGTTTACAATATTTGTGTATTTGTTAGTAGACGTATTATAATGAAAGGGAGCTAAGATATGTCAATTTTACCAACATTTGCTTATTATCATACGCCTATTGGATGTGGAATCGTGAAAACTCACACGTTGAATCAGGCCCATTCTGTTCTAATTGTCAAATGGAGTGTTGCTAATTACTCATCTGTCTATCAGTGGCCGCTGAACCCTCAATTCAACGTCTGTATGACACTCCTGTTACTCGAATAATGGTGCTAATATGTTCAGTAGGCGATCAATGGGTCCCTTTTGGAAAAATCCTGCAGCACAGTTATAAAGGCGAAAATCAGATATATTGACAAATTTTCACAGAGGTGAGATGTCAACAAAATGCTATTAAAATCTCATTTGCTAAAGCTAGGTTGGTTAAGATAACTTAATGAGAATATTAAACAACTGTTCGGTGGGAAGAAGCCGAACTAGGGATTATAGATGTTACAAAGAATTGCAATAATTGCATTGCTTACCATTAACCGAAATTGAAATGCGTCATTAAGATGAATAGTACCTTGGGGTTCTTGTTGTCATTGGCTCTACAAGTGGTGAGATGATAAGTCACGGGTTGTGGCCGACCACCATAAACCCAGAGATGCCCCACTAATTGGTAGACTCCTTTGTCTAGTAGATGGTTTCTCAAAAGTGATGAGAAAAGAGGTTACCTATGAAATCGCATAAAAGCCTCACTCAGATTTACATATATATATTGGGTTGGCAACGAAGTCATTGCCGTTTTTGTTGACAGATTCACTCTATACTTTCTTTTGTTTTGTTAACGTGGCCAGAGCATCTAACCTATATTTTTTTCTTACTGTATGGGCTTCTAGGTTAATTAGTAAAAATTTTTTTTTGTTCAGTTCTTTAGTTTTGTTTTTATCCCAATTTAAAAATGAAAGAACAGGACGTGCACGTCCGACACATTTTATTGTATTACTTCCGAAAAGGCAAGAACGCATCGCAAGCACAAAAGAAGTTATGTGCCGTATATGGAGATGAAGCCTTAAAAGAAAGGCAGTGTCGAAATTGGTTTGAAAGATTTCGTTCCGGTGATTTTTCACTGAAAAATTCACAACGATCTGGCCGCCCAGTCGAAGTGGATGAAACCCATATCAAGGCCATTATCGATTCAAATCGTCACAGCACAACACGAGATATTGCAGAGAAGCTCAATGTGTTGCATACATGCATTGAAAAAAAGTTAAAAACCCTTGGTTATGTCAAGAAACTTGATTTATGGATCCCTCACCAGTTAAAGGAAATTCATTTGACGCAACGGATTAGCATCTGTGATTCGCCGCTACTGAAACGCAATGAGAATGATCCATTTCTGAAGAACCTAGTTACTGGCGACGAAAAGTGGATAGTTTATAACAATGTCGTTACTCGCAAGAGATCATGGGTGAAGCAAGATCAACCAGCCCAAACAGTATCAAAAGCAGCAGAGATTCACCAAAAAAAGATTATGCTGTCAGTCTGGTGGGATCACAAAGGAATTTTGTATTTTGAACTCATGCCGCAGAACCAAACGATAAATTCAAATGTGTATGTTGAAGAACTTGAAAAAGTGAAGGATGCAATTGAAGATAAGCGGCCGGCATTATCAAATCGGCGGAAGGGTGTTGTTTTCCATCATGATAACGCCAAAATTATTGGAACTGGGTTGGGATGTTTTGTCACACCCACCATATAGCCCTGACCTTGCGCCTTCGGATTACCATTTGTTTCGTTCCATGCAAAACTCTTTAAATGGCAAAATTTTTAACAACGCGGATGATGTCGGATCACACCTAATTCAGTTTTTTAATAGCAAAGACCAGACATTTTACGAACGG